AATTGAAAAACGAATCATGAGTTTTAAAAATGTTTGTTTTCCAAAACATAAAAATATTCATCTGTTTCAAAAATTGTTTGCGAATTTAGAAAGTTCATCAAAAGTTGAAATGCTCACTAAGTTGAAATTTTTCAGGAATTTGAAAAATGTTCAAAATTTCTTTTAAAAATGCGAGTGTGAAAAATGTTTGCGCATTCAAAAACAATTGCAAAATTTAGAATTGTTTAAAACTTCATAAAAATTTCGTGATATTTTATTAGTGAATTCAAAAAATAATTGTTAATAAAAACCCAGAAAATCAGTCAAGAAACAAAGAAAGAAAAAATATAAAAAATTCGGGAAAAATGGAAAAGGGAAATTATTTCCAGCTGACCACTCCTAGACGCTTGGATTCTGACAGGTCGTCCCAAGATCATATCACAGTTGGCGATTGCAATACTTATATATCTGCGGATGGAGACGAGCCTCGGCTAGTAGTTGTATGTGTCATATTGCGTCTGTATGTGTCTTATGTCTCTTTCTCCTGGATCGTTTCTTGACAATTTAATTTCTATGCTCACAGCTGAAAATGAGTAAGATTGTTGAGTCTGCTTCAAGAAAGGGCAAACTTGATAGCAACAAAAATGCAGAGACAGGCTTAGTCAGATACAAGGATATCACTTCAAGCACGCAAAGACATTGTAGCAAGCAAATAGAGCAGTGCAAGTTCTACCCATCACAGTGCTTTCCACGGCCATGACAATAGAGTGATAACAACAACAAGGATTGAACGTGTTGCTCGAGCATGTTGCAAACATGAAAGCAAATATGTTTATAGGATGGAACCACTCAGTGAAGAAGACTATTTTTTAGAAGAATATTTGGTCCCGAAAAAGATTTCCTGGATGCACCCATAAAAGAAGAGATCTCAAAATATATTCTGAAAAAATGTGGTGGTATGCCACTTGCTATTAATAATATAGCAAGCCTTCTAGCTGGTGAGGAAAAATCAGCCTGGGAGTATATATGGAAATCTTTGGATTATGTGACTAAAGGAGATGATCTTGAAAAGATGAAGCGGATATTGGATCTTAGCTACATACATCTTCCCGATTATCTCAAGATATGTCTGCTTTATGTTTGTATGTATCCAAAGGATCGCGAGATAGATAAAAATGATTTGCTGAGGTTGTGGGTCACCGAAGGTTTTGTGCACGTGAGTTGAACCAGTGGCTTGGAAGCAGAAGGATGTTGCACAAAAGTACTTCAAAGAGCTCATGAGCATGTGTATGATCCAACCTGGTAAGATAGATGACTACAACAATGAAGTGTTGTCTTGCAGAGTACATGATATAATTCTTGATCTGATCAGATCCAAGTCAAGTATAGAGAATTTTATTCATGTAATTGATGATTCAAAAGATGAGACATGGGAGATCAATCGAGTCTCTGTCCAATACAACGATGAAGAGGATGCCAGAATTTCAGAGACAGTCAACAAAGGGTCACTATACATGTTTGACCAGTCTTATTTTGCCGGAGCTCACTTGTGCTTTATTTTTTGGAGTTCAAATATGTTTGAGTGCTACACATTGAACATAAGTATTATTTCTTTAACTACAGCCTTGACCTGTCCAGTATCAGTAGGTTGTTTCTTCTAAGG